CCGCAGAGTAGAGAACTAGAATAAGATTTTCGCCTTCGATGAGGCGTGGTACAAGGATTTAGAAATGGGGGTGCTTGGTCTGAGAACTTACCCCTTTCTTGACTATCAGCTTTTGCCTAATTTGTTCCTATTACTAGTATCACTCGCAGCTAGTGGTTTGGGGAAATTTTGGTGAGTTCGCATTTACGATAAGAATTGCAAATTATTGATTACGGATTCGATGGCCGTATACATTTATATCAGCCGCACAGAGTATCGATCATAGTCAGCGTGACTTGAACGTTTTATTTGTGTGATGTTAGCCAAGTACTTGGTTGTGTCTTCAAAGTTCCAGTGTCAGGATTTGGGAGAGAAAGTTTAAAGTTGCTTGTTAGCTGGTTACCACACGAGTGGAGAGAAGTTGGAATTTTAGTTTAATACGCATTAAAAGTGTGTGCCACATGACGTCAACTTCCACCGGGATCAAGTTTTTCGGCCTTATGATATTCTCGGACTAGTACTAACCTTTCCGACAAAACCTTTCTGTTCAGATTATTGGCTTAGGGATACTAGTATTTGCAGGCCCCCGCCATGCTCTGCTGATATGCTAGATCTTTCCAGCTGGCCTTTCTAATCATTGTCGTCCTGTAACTGACCCGGTAAAATACCCCTGCATGAAATACCTCTGGTCGGGCGGGCGGTGACCGTGAGATACCGGAAGCATACGATGGTCTGGCTGCCAAGGCTATGCTGAAGTAATAGCACTCTTGGTCTTGAAGTTTATATTCTTCTGTTAGTATAATGCCTGATGAATATTTTTTGGAAATTTGTATTGTGAAGATTCCAACACCCGTTTTCCTGACTTCACTCATCTTGTTCTTTGTGTGCGTGGTTTATTCCGTCCATTTTGTTTACAGAATTTGGTCAGTATTTCATTACAGATCTAACTTGTATTTATCAGGTATTGACGATCAGCGGCTGGTTTTCTTTCGTCCGACTTGTTAGGATTTTGGTTTATGTAAAGTTTGAGCCACCTGACGCCAAGTTCCGCCAGGGTTTTCCGGCCTTACCCTTAATTCTCTCCGTCAAGGCTCTTCTGTCCAGTAACCCCGGGCGTTGTTTTTTCTCGTCTTTCCAGTAAACCTCAGACATGCAGCGAGGGATACCCTACTGCACATACATGTAGTTTACCTGCTGACATCCCAACATAAAAAGGTCCAAGTTTCATATCCGCGGTCACGCTGAACGCTGTCGAACTATGCTGAATAACGCAACCCTCGAATACAACAAACTTTACTTTGCTAACCTGTTCTACACTGTTTTTTTTTCAGCTCTACATGACGACAAACGCAACAGTTACTCAAGAATACAATTAAGAAGTGGAATAAAATACCAGGTGAGTGCCTAACCATCCTTATTTCATCATCATGCAATATTGTACATAACCACGATAATTAGGCAATGTTCGCATATCTATAGTACTTCTTTCATGAAAAGCTGTGTGTTTTGAAATACGGTACCATGTTTACTATGATGTCATTGGTGGGAAAACAGTGTAGCCTCGGTGCCAGGTGCCAGGCCCCTGTGCCACGATACTCAATTCAGTCAGGGAAATCTCACGCCTGGAACACAGAATTTGCAGCTGGGGTCTAATTTAATTTATACGTCTAGATAAACTGAAGAAGGAAGCCAGCTCCGAAACTGTGGCGTGTTGGGCAGTATAGAGGCCCGGTCGAGAGGCTCAGAAAGAAGAAGCACTTTCTTTATTCCAAGCAAGGAGTTAAGCTCCTTGTTCTAAGTGCTGGGGTCTGGCACGCAGGCTATTCATAATTACCTGGCAGCAAAAATCTCATACGGCATGTATACTTCATGATGTCGCAATTTTCATTGTCAGAAAATGTGTTATATATATATGTGTCTGCTTCATTGCATTCTGTAAAATGAATAGACTCACATGCTTTGCATATTTACATTCATGACATCAAATCTTAATTTAAGTTAATCAAAGCTGGCCAAAGTTGGCATAGATTCATTTATGCTCTTTTCTCTCTTTATACCCACAGGTAAACTTCGCCATGTCCACCCTGAGATGCAGACTACAGCTAACCCAGTCGTGGAAGGATTGGGGTGTGCATTCATGTTTTGCAGCCAAGAAAATTGAAAAACAAGCATGGAATGCAACAGCATCATGAAAGCGAAGAAAATAAAAATAAAAAAGCAAGACTGACACAAACATACATGATAGAAAACACACAAGTGAATAAAATTCCTTACACAAAACATCACTGTTACACTACATGTATCACACAGTAAAGTTATAAAAAAACGACCAGCATCATATAGTTGAAACTAAAAACATATTTGAAGTATTATAAGCTTGAATATGCTGCTCCTGAGCAGGAAATTTGTTCTCTCTTAATAGAAGAAACCATATTTTAAGTATCAATAAAGACAATCATTAATATTCTGTGTGCAAAAATCCACAGTTTGCCCGAAAAGGTGCCTTTTGCATGCATGGTAACATAAGCCTTTCCTGCTTGTTCCGATGACCACAAGGCCGGAGGCTACCTCAAAACCAATTCCCTAGGGAATGCATTCGTGCAATTTTTGAAATTCTTTCAAAGCGATCGCAGTACTTACACAAATGCCTCCGCCCCTGAGGCGTCGCCAAAAATAAGGCTTTTTGGCTATTTTCGGACCAAAAATGTACATTTTTGGCTCCTGTGCCCTAATATTAAATCCGAATGACCTGAAATGTGGTATGGGGATACCTTGGACACATGTCCAAAGTATGTCATTCACGATTTTGACATACACCACTTTAAAGTTATGTAGAATAGGGATTTTTGGCTATTTCCGGCATTGGAAGGTTCCATTGCTGCATGGGGGTGTAGACTATTGGCAGCCATCGTAGGATAGATCCATTTTCGGTATGGGGGATGTGGTGAAGCCATCTGCTGCATTTGCTCCCAAGCAAATGTCGGCCTTTCTAGTCAACGATAGCTTACACCACGGAGGCTAAAACTTGCCAGATTTATTAAATGGTTTCATTTTCAGGCGATATCTAAAAAAATAAGTGCGTAAAAAAATGCAATGTAATGTTCAGTATATTAACAAACCCGACAAGAGGTTTTTCGTTTTAAATAACTCTATTAATTTATTGATTAGTACCGGTATTTTTTTGCCGTTGAGCTATTCCCCTTGACTTCGCTAAATCTTAATTATCTAATTCTAAAAGAGCATAACACGCATCTTACCATTTCAATTGATTTGAAAGTGTTTTCTAAAACCAACATGTTGTTTAGTTAACAATTAAAAAATATCTGCATCCTCTGTAACTACAGAAGGGGATTGTAAATGGAGAAGGAGACACAGATTTAGTACTAGAAAGGCCAATATTTGCTTTGGAGCAAATACAGCGATGGGTTCACCACATTTTACGACATGGCAGGGAAAGAATGAGAAACACAAGGGAAAACAGTGATTTACATTGATATAACTATAATATGAAGTAACATACAACTAAAACAACAGTTGGATAGCTATTCCCTACTTTATTGGTTAGGATTTTTAATTGCATAATGCAAACTGTTGATTTTCAAAATAAATAAAAAAACGTTCATGCCCCGCATTCCAATGCTGGAGCAGAAAAGCTTGAAATACCTACCAAAACACTTGAATAAAGACATACTGTCAGTATGGAAATGCTCTGTGCAGGTGTTAATCAAGTTAAATCCCAACAGCCAATCAGCAAGAAATGCTCTGTGCAGGTGGAAATGCTCTGTGTAGGTGTTAATCAAGTTAAATCCCAACAGCCAATCAGCAAGAAGTATAGAGGAAAGCTGCATGCCTATTGGTTGATGCCCTGCATTCCATTGTGATGACTCGTGCCCAGACGTGGTAAACACGGCACACTAACACAGTAATACATTTGCTATAACACAGCCAAAAAACTCAAATAAAACCATTCTAAAAGCCTGTATCACAAAAATTTAAAAAACGCCTAGGGGTATTTGCCCACTGTACCTCCATACCAAATTTCAGGACCTTAGGCCCTAAAATGAAGAAGCTGAATCCATTTAAAAAATGGCAGGAGGAGAAGGAGGAGGAGGAGAAGAAACATCAGAAAAAGCAATATGGGTTCACCACCACTTCGTGGTGTGGTGAACCCATAATAAGATGTCGGTTAAGTCTCCGAGGCCTTTCCCAATGATGTTTTTATTAAGTTACTTACCTTCTACCGCATATATGAGTTATTTTCATTCTCGAGACTACTGCATTTGTTAAGAAATAAAGCGATTCTTTAAGGTTCGTATTTTTTGTAGAACTATTATTCAGTGACCTGGTCATTAATGTCCATATTCCATGTTCTATTAACTACAGAAGTCAGTGGTGAAAAGGATCCGGATGTAGAGGAGAACTACGACATGGCAGGACTTGGAGATCAAAACCCGACTTCAGAAGGTAACGATGGTCACCACGTCCCTGATACATCACATGTAAAAACATCTTTATCCCCTTACTAACGATGTGCCATTACGGTTTAGGGATATTTGTCTTTAAAAGCATATATCTTACACTAACACATAAATCTATTATGTATCCAATAAACGTAAAATGAAATGGCTGTTTCCTAGAACAAACACCATTTTGCACGATAATGAAAGCATATCTTCATGTTCTACCACACACAGAGGGGGAGGCAGAAGAGGCGAAGTTACTGAGCAGAACTACGACCAGTCAGAAACCGGAGAAGAATATTCAACTTCAACAGGTAACAGCTATCATTTATCTAATACACAAAACTTATTGGCACCTAACTTTTTAAAATCATTACATTTGAAATATTTAAAGGCGGAAAATGACCTTGGATGTCACTGATGTTAATCATGCATCACATTAGATTAGACTTGACGTGATGCGTTTTTTCGTACATCAGATATTACGTTACGTGGCTATTTACACAAAAAATACAAATTTTAGGAACCACAGAATACGGCGGTAAACTGGGTCTTGATGTACAGCAAAATTACGGCATGAAAGGACTTGGAGATCCAGATCCGACATCAGAAGGTACCGATGGTCATCCTGCCCTTATTATAAAATATTTATTGACACCTAATGGTTTACGTTCTTAGCTAACGATGCGCACTTACTGTTTAGGAATCATTGTCGATCAAAAGAGTTTTACTTCATCTTATCTTAAGACCTCTAAGACATCACATGAAAATGATTGGCTTGCTTCTTTGAACAAACACCGCACTGCATGGTGATTAAAGCATATCGGCATGTTCTACCACACACAGGGGTGAAGGGAAAAGGATGTACGGATGTAGAGCAATACTACGACGTGACAAACACTGGAGATCAAGGGTCAACTTCAAAAGGTAACGACTCCCCCGTTTCTAAATATATTATCCCTATTAGAAACACGGTTAAGATTACGTCGGTAAAGATTATTCCCCCTTTACATAATTATATTAAACGCATGTGATCGTAAGAAATGACTATTTGCTATCAGCTATGTTTTAGGATTTACCTTTACCATACCTCAACCATCTAGCATTTTCATCGTCTTCAAGCAAAATGTTAACATTGAGATGTAATTCACAAAGATTCACAAAGCATTGTGTACTGGGTCAACCGACTCCTTTCAATATGAAGATACGATACTAGAAAAGTGTAGAAACAGGCGCAGATCAAACAAAATGGATCTTTACATTGCTTGAGTTTCGTGTAAACTGTCAGTAATTTTAACAATAGTAATATGTAACAGAAAATTGTAGCTATCGAACAATATGCCTACTACGTCCGGTAAAATAGCACCGTTCTGAAAGAAAGAAAATTAAGGGTTGTTTCTAACCCGAGAATCCTTACTTTTATCATGTATGTGCATACCAAGTGGATATTGATGTTTTAATAGTGCGACATATAATAATCATACAGTGCTGTACTTTGGTGTCATAAGCATTTAGCTTCAGCGTGCTCAGGTTAGAAATTATGCTATTTGCGCATATAGAACACCTCAAATGTCGTCGGTGTTAAGGAGTACGGAAAAATGATTTTTTGATTTCTGCACATGCATATGCATCTTCTGTATCATCTTCGATTGTTGTATGGAGGGTATTTTTAGTACGTGTTCACAGGACGCGTGATGGGTACTTCCGGGTGGAAAGCTGCTATTTGGTAATGGGTCAGGGGTCAACGTACTCTTGCGCAATCGTCCCTACGTCAAGCAAGAAGCCCTTGTGAGATAAATATATTACGGCGCGGCGTATATTACGACTTCTAAAGGTACGGTCACAACTCGCCGTAGGTGCTTCTGCGTGCTGTCTACGTGCAAAAACGTGGGCAAACGTAGGGAATCCAAGCGTGGTGAGTACCATCCCCGTGCGGAATCCTACGAATTTGGGAGCTGCGTGCCGCGTCTGCGGATTCACCACCCGTGCGTGCGAGTACGGGCAACGCGCGTGCCCCGTATGTGCCGTGCGGAAGAAGCAAGTGTAAGTACGGTCTCCTTACGGTAAAGTTGCAATCGCACAGAGATCGTACGTTGTAAGCACGTACAACTCACTTACCACTTGCGCAACGTACGATGGACGCAACCGCTCACGGTCAGACTTTCCGTGAAGACCACACTCTTACACTTTGCGCAACCGTGCGAGTGACGTGCGAGTGACGTGCGTCGACGCCACTACTTCCCCACGTTTTCAGAAAAAAACGTAGCAGACGTAACCTCCCAAAAAACGTACGGACAAAAAGCACGTACGGCGTAGCTTAACTTACAAATACTGTGGTATAAGATCTCGACATACATTTTTACCGAGAATTTAGACCTTTACTTCCCCGATTTATACGAAGAATCGGCGGAAAATGGAGGAATGAAACTCTCTTACCGTGACCGTATATACTCTAATTACAAGTTATTTTTAACGTCTGATTTAACGGTTCCAGTTGTCATTCTGAGTTTCATTTCGAGTTCCTTCCGGCAGATTGAAAAGAATTTCATAAGTTCCTGGGTACATGTTATGGGCTGCAGATAAGAATGTTGTCCTATGTTAACACGACAAGGAACGCTACATCTAACATATGAAATTTAATACCATCAGCTTTACATATCAAACAACATATCAAAATATATAATAAAAAGCCCGGAGGTATAAAATCTCAGATTTTACTTGTTTATTAAATGGTTTGTTTTGTATATATGTGTTCGTGAGCCTGTTTTTGTAATTACCTGATTTGATTACATTTGGCTGGTTGTAATATTAGGTTGAGAAAAAAGGTTTAATGCACCGTCCCGAGGTGTATATGGTGAGATAATCCCTGGTCGTGTGCGAACGAAACGAGGTGGTTTATTCGGTGGTTATCGCACCCGACCAGGGATTATCTCACTACATACACCGAGCATAAGGCGGGACATTAACGTTATTATCATATAGCCTATCCAAACTTGTTTTTAAACAACCGCCTTTCCTTCAAGTGGTCGAGCTGCTGTTCATTGAAACTAGGAAATGAGTGCTGTAAATCTTAATTTTAATGATCCACAAATTTTAGTGACTTTTGCGGTCAAGATTCACCGCAACTATTTCATGTATTTGATCACTTCTGCCCCGCCACCATAACAAGCCTGTTATGGTTCACTCACAATCACGCTTCATTTATTGGCCAGGACACGCATATAATGTGCTATTGATTCAATCAGGAACAAGCAAAACATTACAGTAATTAATAAATAAAATAAAACATTTATTATACAGAAAGTGTGTGTCGCCATTTTATTTCATAGTTATATTGAAACAGTGGCGTCGTAACGTTTTGAAATTTCGCAGCTTATTTGCACGAGAGTATTTACAAATGTATACAATACTAAATTACATCACGATAAAGGAGTTTCTACGTAAATCTACAAAAACAAACAGCAAGGAGACAATATCAAAAACAATGAGACTATTAAATCACCGATCGTGTAGACAACATCAAGCAAAATGGCGTCACACCACTAATAATTACAATTTGACAAACGAGTTACAAAGTACGAGAAAGCGGCATCCATCTGCTAAATTCTGAGCGCAACACAAGCAAGTCTTACGAACTTTGATAAAACATTTTGAAGTCTACGCGCCGGGGCGATACTTTGTTTACTAGTGTGCCCTACTTACCCCGTACATTATGTCATTCTCTCTCCGCTAGATGACATGCAGGCAAAGTTAAAAATGTTCTTAGACTAACTTTTTCTGTAACCTGAATAATGTCCAACCATGCTCGATCTGATGAAATTCGACCAAAACGTGTTACCTATGACCTCATCGGCGGCCATATCGGTCGACGCTGATTGTTTCCGGTGTTTATGGGATTTTAATGACCTCTGGTTGAGTTATGGTGTCATAACCAATAGCAAATGGGGACCTCTGATTGGTCAATGCTACCTGGCTATATGATGATAACACAATGACCTTCAGAGTAGGCAACCGTGAAAGATGTATAATAATTGAGGTAAATTTGACTGTAGTAGGATGAGCTACATTTTTTTCCATACTATATACCTTGCAAGTAGCAAACCATTAGTTAGTATGGCTTATAAAGTGTTTGCATAAAGAACGCAAAATAGTAGTATAGTAACTATGGAAGAACGTTTTTAGCATAATACTGACCAGATCGTCTTATTGCTATCGGGGTTTCCAAACTAGACTTTGACAAAAACGTGTAAAGCAGATCAAGAGCAAAACAACCCACAAAATGTAAGGAAACTAAATAATAAATTTCCAGTATTGTTGCAAAAAGATACACTTAATGTTGAAAGGTCAAAACATTAATTTTTTGTTCTCCCTTTTTTTTTAATTTGCTGTAGACATACAAACTTTTAGCAGCATTGTCACTGAAATGTCACTATCATTGACAAATCTATTTGTTGTGTTGAATACGTTGTTCTTATATACGAGCTGCTGTTTTCATAATCATACAGAACAAAGGTCTAAATCTTTTTTTTTTAATTTCAATTGACAGAAAGATTATTCTCTTTGAAACTTTAATTGAACTGTGATTTTTTGACGTTGCAAATTTCTATTGACAAATGTGTGCCTAAAAGTATTGAGAACTGTAGTTCTGGTGATTTTGTAATCAGAGACACCAGCCGAATAGCCGTGTTCCGTCGTCAGGCTCATATCTTAGTAGGTCAATGTGGTCCGTGCATTGTATTTACATGTACTTGTTTGGAGGAGGCTGACTTATTACCTCCATGAAAAATGGAGGTATTGTTTTTGGCGCGTCTGTGTGTGTGTATGTTTGTGTGTGTGTGTGTGTGTGTGTGTGTGTGTGTGTGTGTGTGTGCGTGTGCGTGTGTTTGATATATGGTATGGTGGTAAGTCTGAGAAAGACGAAGGTCAAGGTCAAATATGGGCCTCCTGGTGGATGGCCTTGGTATTGCAGCAGAACTTCCGGTTTTTGTATCTTTTGTCCCGAACTTGCTATGATCTTGATTTTTTTGGTGACAGATTGGCTAAGCTTTTCCTGTCAGCAATAAGCGGTGTGGGTTTGGTCTCCCTAGCAGCTTGTTCTGGAACTGCAGGAGACTTTCTGGCGAAATCTAATGAGGACTAAATTGCATAATTAATAAGGAAATTCTATAATTTAAGTATTTTATATAATTATAGTACTGTTATACATGTAATCAAATGAGGACAAATTTGCATAATTAATAAGGAAATTCTATAATTACAGTGTTTATATAATAGTACTTTATTTCATTTCATTTCATATAATAGTACATTACGTACAAAAATCATACATTTTGACCTTTTCCTATTTTTTTGTGAAGAAAAGACAAAAAGATGAAAAACCCGATTTTTAAACCCTATTCAGACCGAGTGGTCTTTTGAGGCCCGCGCCAACTTTAATCTCAAATAGCGCCTAAACGGCTTGAGCTAGAACCATCAAATTTGGTGAGCTTTCCTAAAATGTATCTATAAAAAAATTCATATTGGTTCAATAAGTTAATGATTTTTTGTGTTACCATGGCAACGGGTTTCTGACAGGCAGTTTCTTTGAAAAAATTATTACTTTTGGTTTAATCATTTTTGGTTTATTTATATTAAATATTACTTCCTTTCTGACATTAATAACATCTTACATAATTTAAGAGATAAGTTAAATTATTTAATATTCATAATATATGCTAATTTGATGACGTCATTGGTCAAAATCCAAGATGGCGGACCATATTATTAGCTTTGACGTCATATGACACAAAAGCTGTTAGAATTTCATTCTATTAGTACACCATTCTCTAAAAAAATTTGGTGGCAATACGATAAGTGCTTAAAAACATATAAAAACGGAAATAAAGTAATGTATAAGAACGCCAGTGTATCCATTACGATCAAAAGCTGGCTGGGGTTCGCGCGGACCCCAAAAGAAAATCAGATATAACAATTTTTAAGAGTGGAGGAAACTGGGTTTTCTGTACTGTATTGAGGGACAACTTTATGGGTAACAATTACCTGAAATTTTAGAAAAATATCCTAAGAAACAAAAAAAAAATATTACAGCATATATAGTGCTGGGGTCCGCGTGAACCCCAGGTGTACTGTTTATGGTAAATGTGAAAATTCTGTAATTCCTTTTTGGTGAATGATGGGAACTTTATAACTATTATATATGTAACATGTGTACGTTACTTAAAGGTTAACACCACTATGCATATATCATGTTAATTTTTAGGTCATTTGTATCGTTTGCATAATCAATGAAAACATGTTGCAATTAAGCATGACAAAGGAGAGGAATTTTACACAAAAATAATGTCATTTGAATTTAGAAAACCATAAATTAAACTAGCTATATATATAGGTTATGTTAATTACGACCTTATTTCAATAGTCTATGAGACAAAAAAGTAACATTTACAAAAACTCATTTTTAAACTAAATTATGCTAATTTTGACCCTATTTTGAAATTCAATGAGACAAATAACTTTTGCGAAATCTCATATATTACATGGAGGTATGAGACCTCTGAATTCTTCTTTAGTTTTCTGTGCAACCTACATGTAACTGAAATTATGTATCTTCTTGCCCAGTAACTGACATCACATGTTAACGGCGTGGTAGCCAGGTGTACACTATATTCAATGATAGCTTACACCACGGAGGCTAAAACTTGCCAGATTTATTGGATGATTTTATATCCCAGCTATCGTTCTAAAGTTAGAAGTACAGGCGATATCTAAAAAAAATTAAGGGTGTAAATAAAAAGATGAAACGTGATTTTCAATATACCAACAAACCCTACAAGAGGATTTTAGTTTTAAATAACCTTATTAATTTATTGATTAGTACCGGTATTGTTTTTGCCGTTGAGCTATTCCCCTTGACTTCGCTAAATCTTAATTTTTAATCCTAAAAGAGCATAACACGCAACTTAACTTTTCAACTGATGTTTTCTAAAACCAACAACATATTGTTTAGTTAATAATTAAACAAAATATCTGCATCCTCTGTAACTACAGAAGGGGATTGTAAATGGAGAAGGAGACACAGATTTAGTATTAGATGTCGGTTAAGTCACCGCTGGCCTTTCCCAATGATGTTTTTATTAAGTTACTTAACTTCTACCGCATATATGAGTTATTTTCATCATCATTCCCAAAAGTAATGCATTTGTTAAGAAATAATGCGATTCTTTAAGGTTCGTATTTTTGTAGAACAATTATCTAGTGACCTGGTCATTAATGTCCATATTCCATGTTCTATTAACTACAGAAGTCAGTGGTGAAAAGGATCCGGATGTAGAGGAGAACTACGACATGGCAGGACTTGGAGATCAAAACCCGACTTCAGAAGGTAACGATGGTCACCACGTCCCTGATACATTACATGTAAAAACACCTTTATCCCCTTACTAACGATGTGCCATTACGGTTTAGGAATAGTTGTCTTCATTTCATTTCATTTTCATTTTTATTTATTTATAAAGGTTAGCATATCGCCATTTTGGCGCTTTTCAAAGCTCCCTGTGTCATACATACATAACCAAACATAAAAAAAGGTAACTTAAGTACAATCAAAAGGTAGTTATGATAAAAGAAACGAAAACAGACTAATGAATTACAGAAAACATACTAAATAAATATGACAAATGATATAAATGATAATGAAACTGAATTTGCATATCAATGTCTAAAAGCAAAATGGAAAATTAAACAAAGAAATCATATTAACTGGTGAGTGAAGAAAGTGTGTCTTAAAGACACTAAGTGAGTTCCAGAGGACTGCACCGGAAAAAGAAAGCGATCTCTTTTTGTACTGCAAGCGAGCTTTTGGTAGCTGGAGTCCCCCCTGTGTGCTTAGTCGGGTGTTGTGTGTGTGGGTACTGGCAGATGTCCAGCCTAACAAGTTTAGAACAGTTTCACTGGAGGTGTAGTGGTCACACCCTAATACTACTCTGCCCGCTCTATTTTGCAGCTTTTGTAATTTGTCTACATGCCCCTTACCTCCCTGGTCCCATAAAGTGCTGCAGTATAAGATGTGGGGGAGGAACAATGTGTTTTATATTGTCAGTAGGGCCCGTCTGTCCAAGTATGGTCTCAAACACTTCATTATTCCAATTATTTGTGATTTCTTTGTGATTTGTAGTTTGGACATATGAAGAAAGTGGTCCCTCTAGAGTAGGGCAATGTCAAGCAAAACACCCAGGTACTTGAACGTATCCACTTGCTCCAATTTTGTCCCGGTTAACGTGAGTTGTAAGCGCTGGTCAACAACTCTGGACCTGTGTGAACCAACCAGCATTGACTTACATTTAGAGGGATTCAAAGAAAGTCTGTTTGCGAGGAACCACTGTACTAACCGGGTAGAATCGTTCTGGAGTGTGTCTTGTATTGTCTGTATGCTACGGTGTGAGAAGTAAAGAATGGTATCGTCTGCATACATAGCCACCCTACATGACTGAATACAATTGGGCAGATCATTTATATATACAATGAAAAGAAGGGGTCCAAGAATGGACCCCTGCGGAACGCCGCAAGTCACATTAGATGGTTTTGACAGGACTGAGTTAAGGCACCTACTGGTCAAGTAAGACTTGAACCATCTACATGCCATTTCATCGAACCGTAGGTTTTGAGTTTGCTTAACATGATGGCTCATTGTTAAGAGTATCAAAGGCCCTGGACAAATCGCAAAAGATCACACCAGTGTGCTGTTTTATGTCGATTGATTCAATCCAGTCCTCTGTTACGAAGTGCAGGGCAGACTCGCAAGAATGGCGCTCTCTGAAACATGACTGGCATTGGGAGAGTAGTCGGTGTTGGTTAAGGTAACCATATAACTGGTTGTGAACCGCCCGCTCTAGCAGTTTGGAAATGCCAGGTAGGACAGATACTGGGCGATAATTACTTGGCGAGGTCTTGTCACCTTTCTTATGGATTGGCATGACTTTGGCCATCTTCCATTTGGCCGGAAACTCTCCTGTGGTCAGGGACTTGTTAAAAAGGTTTGTAAGCGACGGGGCTAGGACCTGTGCACCTGCTTTCAGTAGTCTATTATCAATGCTATCCAGACCAGTGGCCTTTTTTGTGTTCAGCATTGTCTTTAAAAGCATATATCTTATCCTAACTCATAAATCTATTATCTATCCATTAAACGTAAAATGAAATGGCTGTTTCCTAGAACAAACACCATTTTGCACGATAATGAAAGCATATCTTCATGTTCTACCACACACAGAGGGGGAGGCAGAAGGAGGCGAAGTTACTGAGCAGAACTACGACCAGTCAGAAACTGGAGAAGAATATTCAACTTCAACAGGTAACAGCTATCATTTATCTAATATACAAAACTTATTGGCACCTAACTTTTTAAAATCATTACATTGGAACTATTTAAAGGCGGAAAATGACCTTGGATGTCACTGATGTTAATCATGCATCACATTAGATTAGACTTGACGTGATGCGTTTTTTCGTACATCAGATATTACGTTACGTGGCTATTTACACAAAAATACAAATTTTAGGAACCACAGAATACGGCGGTAAACTGGGTCTTGATGTAGAGCAAAATTACGGCATGAAAGGACTTGGAGATCCAGATCCGACATCAGAAGGTACCGATGGTCATCCTGCCCTTATTATAAAATATTTATTGACACCTAATGGTTTACGTTCTTAGCTAACGATGCGCACTTACTGTTTAGGAATCATTGTCGATCAAAAGAGTTTTACTTCATCTTATCTTAAGACCTCTAAGACATCACATGAAAATGATTGGCTTGCTTCTTTGAACAAACACCGCACTGCATGGTGATTAAAGCATATCGGCATGTTCTACCACACACAGGGGTGAAGGGAAAAGGATGTACGGATGTAGAGCAATACTACGACGTGGCAAACACTGGAGATCAAGGGTCAACTTCAAAAGGTAACGACTCCCCCGTTTCTAAATATATTATCCCTATTAGAAACACGGTTAAGATTACGTCGATTAAGATCATTTCCCCTATACATTATTATATTAAACGCATGTAATAGTATGAAATGACTATTTGCTATCAGTTATGTTTTAGAATCTACCTTTACAATACCTCAGGCTCAACCATCTAACATTTTCATCATCTACAAGCAAAATGTTAACATTGAGATATAATTCACAAAGATTCGTACTAGAACAAGCATTATGTACTGGGTCAACCAACTCCTTTCAAGATGAAGATAAGATAAAAAAGATAATATAATAAAAAAGAGTAGAAATGGTAATATGTAACAAAAAATGGTAGCTATCGAACAAGATGCCCACTGCGTCCGGTAAAGTATCAATGTTCTGAAAGAAAGAAAATTAAGGATGTTTTTAACCCGGGAATCCTGTACTTTTTTATGTATGTGCATGCCAAGTAGATATTATTGGTTTTATAGTGCGACATATAATAATCATATAATGCTGTACTTTGGTGTCATAAGCATTTATCTTTAGCGTGTTCAAGTTACGAATTATGCTATTTGCGCATTTTTATTTATTAGAACTCTTTAAATGTCGTTGGTGTTAAGGAGTACAGAAAAGTGATTTTTGGATTTAGCCCATACCCCCCTCCCCTTTAACCCACACAGATATGGACACCATACTGGCAGCAGAGGTCGGCTTGCAGACTTTGCCCAATTCAAGCAAAGTAAGATCTCTTTTGAACTATAAAAGACTAAAATTAAAAAAAAAAAATCAACTTGAAACAATAGGGGCTGCACCTGCAACCTCCATGCTTGTGCAGCCCCTTCTCACTTGAAAATAAACATTTGACATAGATATCTAATCGTGTTTAAAACTCAATGTATCAATACCGTAATTACCTTTGCTATGAAGGTTATGTTTCCAGAGGCGTTCGTGTGTGTATCTGTCTGTCTGTGAACACGATAATTCGAGAAGGCATAGATGGATTGTCTTCATACTTAGTAGGTGGGAAGGTCTTGATGAGACCTCAAAATTATTAGATTTTGGGCCTCCTGGCCGCATGTCGTGGTACTGCAGCGGAACTTCCGGTTTTGATATCTCGTGAAATGGACGTGCCAGGGTCACGAAATTTTAATGGTCGGTAGCTCTTGTGCTGGGGAAGAAGTGACGTACGTTTGGGCTCCCTAGCGGCTTTCTCAGAAACTGCAGGGTCGTATCTTTAAAAATATTCAAAAGAGGATAACTCCAGAACCGGTTGACGGATCGTCATGATTTTTAGTATGTACGTAGATCAAGTGTCGCTTGACATAATTATGCGACAATTATGCAAGTCTGGTGTAATTTGCATAATTTATGAGTAAATTGTATGAATCAGCTGTATTACATTATAGGACTATTTAAGCTTGAGAAATATATGTAATTGAGAACAAGAGAAACGCAGGCAGATATTGATTATGTATATAAACACTTAATTTGCATAATTAATGAGAAAATGTTATAATCCCATAATGGTAACTGCCTGGAATTTCATACTTGGGGTATTTGAAAGTTAAGTAAAGGTGAACATCATTAAACATGAGGACATCATTTGCATAATTTATGAGGAAATTATAGAATCGCTCCCTTTGTTATGATAAGGCTGTCTTTAGGTGGAGAATATGATAAACTGATATAATGCATGTAAATGATGATCCTATTTGCATCAGGAGGAATAATCTTTACTTTGTCAGTCATAAAGATTAACATCCTTTGTCGAAGGTATTAGATCGTTATCTTATTCTTTTACGAAGGTCCCGGATAGTATTTCTCACGAGAAGAGAGTCGCAATTTTAACGGCTCTGGGCGTCGCGATGCCTATCGCCAGCGTAGTGTTAGGACTGGCAAATTTCGCCTATGGGACTTACGGGATCGTCAGAGGGCAACAGCAAATGGCTGAACTCAGGGAAATCAAACGGAAGTTGGACCTCCTGGACAGGAGACTGGACGAGTTGCAATGGCAGCTTGGTGAAGTGCGATTCGGCCAGCAGTGGCTGGAAGGAACTGTTCTGTATGGGCGTGATATCCAGGTATTTCTTCTTAATGCAATATGCAGCACAAAACATGATGACCTAGTAACTAGGAAGATTTCTGTCACATAACGGAACCACATGCAACATTGTATATTTCTCTTCTATTTAGACAAGGATGATGACATGAGCTAGATGTGTATGTTTGTCCACACCATAGATGAGGTGGGGTTCTTTTAAAAAGACTGGCGTGCTTCCGAAAATAATTACACGAGCTTCGTAGATCATAGGATATTCGGATTTCTTCATACACAACCAGTGATTCTCTTACCTTGCTTACGTTTCTGTGTCTATCAGATACCATTATTATCTAGCTTCTGTCGCTGCTACATGTAGCCC